TGGCGAGGTACGGCGGTCGCATGTAGGCAGGCTTCTTGCCAATGATGTTGACGAAGGCCTGCTCGAGGTTTCTCATCTCGGTCGTGAGCTGGGACGAGCTCAGGCTGCCAAAGTTCTGGGGATGGGTCCAGGTGTGCGAGGCGATCTGGTGGCCCGAGTCGAAGGCCTTCTTCACGGCCGCGCGCTGGTTGTAAATGCAGCCGTATAGCTTGCCGGTCAAGAAGAATGTGGCCTTGGCGCCACCGTTATTCAGGATATCGACGAGCTGCGAGTGGTATTGGCCGGGGCCGTCGTCGTAGGCGAGAGCGAAGACGCCGGGCTTGGAGCACTTTTGGATGACGACGCCGGCACTGGGGGCGCGCTTGATAAGCTCGAAGGGGTTCTCGATGGGCACGGCCACAACGCTGGCGGCCAGCAGCAGGCTGGTGATGACGGTGTCGAGGAGCATGATGGACGCTCGTTAAACGTTCGAACAGAGAGACAGAGAGTTGGTGGTGCTTGCCAAGTCTTCTGGAAACCCGACAATGGTCACGGGTGGGCGTTGTCTATATATGTTTGCTGGACGAGAGCCTTCCAGATGACGGCCAGCCCGCAATGAACCACTTCAATCTCATCGTTCTGAAGAATCCAATTGATGGGAAACCTCCTTTGTGGGGCCGTTTATCAACAGGGCCTGATATGATCGTTTCGGACGCACTTCTCTGGTTCCAGAGGCCTGGAGAATCACGTTGCTCGTCCGGCAGTGAAGGAGGGCAGCAGGGGTGCAAGCTACCTGCATGGGGTCAAAAGCGGCCAGACATTTAATCTAAGTGAAATACCCAAAGAAGAAAAGACAGGTTGTATTTAGCCTCTTTTGCGCCTGACCCTTGGCGATGCTCAATGTGGAACGGAAGATACGGTCAAAAGGAGGTTCGGGTGGCGGGGGGAGCGGAACAGCCCAGATGAACCGCCAGGATCAAGTACCATACTCAGACGACCTCTTCTCCGTCCGCAGAACGAACCACATTTGAGCATTTGGATTACAGGACAGTGAAAATGCGTTCGTGGAGCGGTGAAATTTGCCGTGCCGGCACCATGTAGACAAAGGGTGAATCTTCCGGGAACTGGAGAAAGGTTGCTATATCATGGAAAATAGTTGGCCAAGTTGCACTCGGGATAACAGGCTAAATCCACACCTTGTCGGGTGACGCGCCCGGGTTAATGCCAAGGGGGAAAATGAGATGATCGCGGGAATAAGGAACTTTTCAGGGGTTGTGCCGTAATAGTAGACGGCAGGGTTTATTATCTGCTCACCCATCTCAGTTTCCATCAACCTCTTTGCGGCGTCATCATCATGTCACAAGAAGCGGGAATAGGTAGACATTATGAATTTATATTTATTAAAGCCAAATATGATGGCTTCTTTGTACGCGAGCCGTTGTTTATCGGTTCATGATTGCGTTACAGCCTACATGCATCGGCCGCTTTCCATATTGTTTCCACGACATGTTCCGTCGTGGTCCAACCAATCACATGAGAGACTTATCTGGATCTGCACTGGTTGATGGCGCCCTTTCCTTGTCAATCGTGTGCTGTGTTGTGCTGCAAGTGGTCGCAAGCAGCCGGAAGCACGATTTCTCCGATTTTGCTACCCTGTTCTCGTCACCGCTTGATAGTACCGAGTTCCATAGGCCTCGTTTCAGAGCATCCCAAAGCCTGAGCGGCAAAGCCCCTGATTGCTGTAACCATTTTCATACTCTGACTGGAGTACTCATCACCCTCATCCAATATGAAGGTTGAGTGTCAGTGCGGAACTGTCGCCTTCGAGACGCCAATACCGAAGCCTCTCGATCTCTACTGTTGCCACTGCTCCCAATGCCGCAAGCAATCCGCATCCGCCTTCGGCACGTCCGCTATATTCCCCGCCGACGGCCTGTTTCCTCTTGACGAGGACCTCAAGTCGAAACTGCAGTTGTGGACGAGACCGACCAAAGGGGGCGGACATATGGACTGTTATTTCTGCCGCGTGTGCGGGAGTCGTGTCTTCCACCGCGCACACGACAAAAATGGGACTCCAAAGCAGACCGTCAGCATCAAGGGAGGGCTCATCGCCGGTATTGACATGGATCACGGGAAACATATTTGGACAAGCAGCGCGGTCGTGCGGATACCCGAGGGGGCGCAAAGATGGGACGAATCGCCGCCTGTAACTCCTACCGAAGACGGCAGCAAATGACCGGTTAAGTTCCGGGATCTGTGATAGACGACATAAGTCAACCCACCCACTTTTCGGCACCCCCCACATTTTAGCATACCAAAAATGAAGCCATTACAACTAACACTACTTTATTTAATTAACTATTAATAACCTCTTAATGCCACAATAATATAGCTTTTAGCCTTACTAGGTAATTTAGATACACTAGATTTATCTATATTACTTTTAACTTTACTAGCCTCCTATTATAATTACTATACTTCTTTAATTATTATAAACTTTATATTAAGATCTATATAAATAGCCTTTTGTTTCTTAGGTATACTATTAGTAACTTAGGCTTTTAAAAGGCTAATTTTTTACTAAGTAGTAGCTAGTATATAAGACTATTCTTAAAAGCCTTTTTTAACTTTTTTAAATAGTTAGTATTATATAGTAATACTTTATTTTAGCTAGCTAAAGAGCTATAGTTAGTCTTTAAGGTCTTTTATTTTCTTTAGTATAGACTACTTTACTATAAATAAGGCTAATACTTAGCCTTTTATATTATAGGTATCCTAGGCTATATAAGTATCTTTAGTAGCTACTTTAAGTAATATTAATAGTATTATTATTAATAATATTACTTTTTAGACTAGTAGCTTATTTATAAGTAGCTTTATAGTACTAATAGGCTATAACCTAGTGTATTTTTAGCTACTTTTAATATTACTAATAATTAGACTAGCTAAATAAGCCTTTTAATAATAAAAAAAGAAGTTCTTTTTACTTATAATAGTAAAATTAATTTACTAACTAAGATATTTAAGCTTTTTTTAATATACTACCTTAATAAGGCTAAAAGCTAACTAGTTAAGTAGCTAAAAAATATAAAAAGTATATAGTAGTAAAAATAAAAAATAAATATTATTAGTATAGTATAACTATATAAAATCTATTATTATATAGCTTTTATACTTATCTTAATATAGCCTTTCTACTAGCTATTATAGATCTAATAGGAGGAGCAAGGCTATAATAGGCGCTATAAAGTAATATAGTGTAAAGGTAAAGTATAATAGTAAAGTAGTAAAACAAGGCAAGTAATAACAAAGAGCTAAATAAATAACATAAGACAAGAGCTAGGTATAAGTATAGGTTATTTATTAAAGTTACCCTTCCTAATAAGAGGAAATAGGTAATAGGATATATACCCCTAGGTATATACCTAGATATATATTAACAAGGTAATCCTATGTCCTACCTATTTATTTACTATATAAGGCACTTGTCCTATAACAAGTGCTTTCTCTCTAAAAGACTTTATCCTCTTTTACTAAGAAGATATACTAAATAGTAGTATATATAAATATAAAGTATAAGAATTACTTTTTTTCTTATATAATAACCTTATTATTTATTATCTCTAAAGTTTTATTAAGATTATTTAGCCTTTAGTAGTGCCTAGGCTAAGTTATTATTATTAGTGTTATAGTAGTGTTTATTAGCTTAGCTGCCCTAGGTTATTAAGGTAGTAACCTTAGGCTAAGTAGCTAGGACCTAAAGGTTAACTATAGCCTTTTATTTATTAAGCTTAGTAGCTATTTAGTTAACTTTATTTATTAACTCCTTAAATAGGCTACCCTTAAAAGTAGTTAGTATATTAAGGTTATTAGACTTCTTATTAAAGAGTATAACTTTAGTGTTTATTTAGTCTACTTACTCCTTAAGTTCTTTAAGGTACTTCTCTTGCTTATATACTTTATTAGCCTTTTTATAAAGGTTCTTTATAATATTATTAATATCTATATTAAGGGTATTAGTCTTTTTTATAATATCCTTAGTAAGTTTAGTAGCTATATTAGCCTTAGCGTTATATTTATTAATATTACCTTTATAGCTATTAACTATATTAGCTAGCTTAGTAATATTTTCTTTAAGCTTAGTAATAGTATATAGCTGCTTTCTTAGCTAGTTAAAGTAATAAATCTCTAAGATAAAGATCTTATTAAGACATTAGATTAAAAAAAGTATACTTATAACCTTTAAATTAGATTAGCTAGGTTAATAAAGGAAAGTAAAGCTAATAAGTATAGTATAGCTAGGAATATTACTTATATATAGCTTACTTTTTTTATACTTAGCTAAGACAGTGTCTATTAGGGTAGTAATTTTATAGTAAAAGTATATATCTAAGGTAAGTAATAATTACTATAACACTATAGAGCTACCTTATTACTAGGTGTAAAAAGCTTTAACCTAAGCTATAGTCTTCTTATAAAGCTATTTATTACTACTTTTATAAAAAGTGTCCTTTAGGTAGTAGAAGGCCTCCTTATAGGTAGAAATAGCTAGCTTTAAGCTATAGCCTTTTTACTTTATAAGGGTATAGGGTTTATACACCTAGTTATTAGTGTTATTAGCTTCTTTAGTAGTAGTAGCTTTAGTATTTACCTTATAGGCTTAGATTTATTTAAGGACTTACTTATTAGTAGGTTTATAACTAAATAGCTTAGTTATTTTCTTTATATAGTTATTAATCTCCTCTAGGGTAGTAATTACTACTAACTTCTTATATATAGTAGTAGGCTTCTTTAGTTCTCTTATATTATTATACTTTCTTATTTCCTTAGTAAGCTTATTACACTTTAGTATAGGTATATTAATTATAAATTTAATGCCTCTCTTTTTTCTAAATAGGCAGAGGATTTTATCTATAAATAGTAGTAATTTCTAAGTATAAACGGCTAAATAATTCTCTAAGAATTCCTAGAGAATTCCTAGAGAATTCCTAGAGAATTCCTGGAGAATTCCTGGAGAATTCTTGGAGAATTCCTAGAGAATTCCTAGAGAATTCCTCTGCTAATGTTCCTAATATTCCTAGGGCATTAGCTAGCTAGTGGCTAGTTAATATCCTATATATTCTAGGGTAAATCCTCTATAGAATAAGTATTCTATAGTATAATAATTACCTATATATAAATTACTTTTTATCTTAAAATATAAATAATTTATAAGTAAAATAAACTAACCTATAAGTAATAGAATTATTATAACTACTTAGTTTTATCTATAATCCTCTAAATACTTTTTTCTTGTTTACTATATATATAAAGTTATTTACCTTATTCTTATTCCTATAGGTAATCCTTTGCTATTTATTAATTATTATTATATATTAGTTATAATTTAAGGGAATAACTATATTCTTACTTAATTTCTATGTTCTCTAGGAGCTAAACTACATCTATAAAGTAAATATTAGCTATATTAGCTAGGCTTATACTTAATTCCTTAAGCTAATTATTATTACACTTATATATATTATTGTATATATAGTTATTAAGTATTCTAAGTTACTTCTAACTATATAACTTAATATAAAACAAGGATATTCTAAGGTAAATAGTAGTAGTAGCCTATATACCCTCTTTAGTCTTATTATATATACGCTAGTAAAGTATATTACTGTTAATATTATAGGTAATAGAGTTATTATCCTA